AATGCCTAGGAGTATGGTTCTTCTCGACTGGGAAAAATGCCTAGGAGGTAATGGTCTTCTCAACTAGGGGAATGTGTAGGAGGTGAAAACCTTCTCAACTAGGGAAATGCCTAGCAAGTAAAAACCTTCTCAAATAGCCTTTGTGCTGACAAAATTTGGGCACAACACTTGAAATATTCAATATTTGATTTGGACATTGTCTTCGTCACTGTTTTCAAAAAAAAAGAAAACTTGTGAGTTTAAACATGGTGGTTGGTTTGTAGCCTTGATTTTGAGGGCGATTGCTCCTACACTTTCCATGATAACTTTGATTTCAACTTGGGTACCTTGCTTGTTATTAGCTAACCGATTTATCCTCAAACCTTATCATAGAAAACACCCCTAATCCATTCAAGCCCCAAATCCCTCTATTTGTTGCATTGTACTCATGAATAGACATTTACTGAACCTTTGCATTTCACATGAATCCCAAAGTACAACAATTGTCACCAACCCAGTGCGCATACTTCTCTTTCCTGACTTAAGCCACTTTGATGTACCATCCAGACTACGCTTTGGGCAATTGGAAAGCTGATAGCAAATTTTAAAGTCATTTCTCACTTATTCTAACCAAATAGACTCAAAAAGAGGACTTAATTAAAGCAAGAGAAACATAGTGATGGAACAATAGAGAGATGATATCGAACAAGAGAATTACAAAGTAGAAACTTATCTGATGTGGATACCAACTCTAATGATCATGACACGCATTTTGGATTAGGTGGCCTAATCTGTCGGTAAGTCTGATGTTCGACTCTTGTTATACCTCTAAGCCATGAAACTGGGCTTCAATGTTCCAATTATCCTGTCTGATTCACGCTTATTTGACTTGTAGTGCCCGAAGGGTTTTCACCATCAAGTCTCCCTCATTTTATTCTTACTCCCAACTCACCATCGCCTTATGGTGCATGTGAATGTTTTCACCGATAAGACTCTCATTTTGCTCTTTTCTTTTTATTTCCTCTGATTCTGCAGATGACAAAGCATTAACCATGGTAAAAATATCATATGCTCCTAGCATGGATAACTCGGCACTCTCAAAGATTATCTAGGAGGTCTTTTCTGGACTATAATATAGCTTTTGGATAGGGTTAGAAAGAAAGAATATCATAAAGGCCCAAAATAACTAAGACAATAGGGTTAATTTATTTCCAACTTTTGGAATCCATTTTAAAAAATTTGCCCCAGTTTCTAAAATAAGAGAATTTGATTCTTTTTTTTTCTTTTGTTAAGAATAATTTATGAGAAAACTAACCCAGTCTTGACTTCGTGGGATTATAAAATATTTTATTTAGTGCGACCGAACCGTAAGGCTGCCTGCATATCATGTGATGGCAAGAATCAGGTCGAACGTAGTTCAAAAAAACGCTTTCTTTTTTTGTTGCTATTTTTCCTTTTCTTTTATTTTTCTTTTCTCTTCTTTTTTCTTTCCTTTTTTCCTTTTTTTCTTTTTGAACTTTTCTTTTGGAATGAACTTTCTAAAACAAACCTATGGGAACATGTACTTTTTTTTATCACTCTAACTTGATTCCAAAAAAAGGGGGCCAAAGAAATCAGCACAGGCTCAAAGAGGTACCGAAGGGTATAAAATATTTGGGTAGCTGAAAGAGGGCCTCCCAATCTCTGAAAACGCCAAGTACGACACATGCAACTTGGGAACGGAAGATGAAGATCATGCATACCATTTCCTTTGCAGCATCGCCATCAATATCACAGATATGCCTTCCACTTTTCTGTAGTGTCTTGCCAAGTACAGAACTGTTGTTGAGTAATTCTTTTCCACAATGAATGTTCTCCGCCAGGTTGGAGCAAACTCCCTTGCTTTATCTTGTGACTTGAGATGCACTTGATCACAAAGTTGCTCACTTCAAATTGTCCGGGACACGCTCTCTTGTAACAAATTCTTTTTCGCCCTATTAACTTCGCAAACTATCTGCCCCAGTTTCACACAATTCGGGCTTTAAATGATCTCAAAATATCCAAATCTTTACTTATTTTCCTCAAATGTCCCTGTCATATTCAAAACGTGTTTTATTGTTTCATGATTAGACTACCTTTCAAGACCAGGCTGAGAATTTCGCATGCAAGTCATGTCAATAGAATCAACATGAAAAAAACTATAAAAGAAAAAGAGAACTAAACAAATACGGACTAGAAATAACAGAAAATAGGAAATTGCATTACACATAAGGTGAAAGGGTTTGAACAGTGAAACAAGCGAAAAAAAACTTGGGTGACAACCCGAGAACAAATCTAGATAACACTAAATGAGTTACTACAACTAAATGAACTAGGCAAAATAAAAGGATAGAAGGGCTTGAGTCACAAGACAATATCCGGATTACAACCCTAAAATAACCCGGACAACAGAAATAACAACAAAATAAACCACCAAGACTCCTCCCAGCTAGCCAAGAAAGGAGAATCTTTCCAATCGCCAAGCTCGACATCTTAGCCACTGATTTCCCCATCAACATTACTAGGACCTTCGCAAGTCTCCATCACATTGACCTTAGAAAATTGCTTTTGGGTCCCTTTTGCCAACTCGTTCTTAAGATCAGCTTCTGGAACCGAGACTGATAGCGCTGAAAACTTAGTAGCAAGTGGCCTTCCAAGGAACTCAGAAGAGTTGTCATATTCCTTTTCAAAACATCATGCCCACCATATGCATATCATTATGAACAGGCAATGGACTTTGGCTAGTATCCGCTGCATCTGGATTTTGCACGGTAATGTTACCTGCATCAATAAGCTTCTGGACTGCTCTTTTCAGATTCCAACATTTTTCTATACTGTGCCCCGGGGCATTAGAGCAATATGCGTACCTTTGAGAATAATCAAAATTCTTTGGAAGAGGGTTTGATATTTTTATCTGAATCGGCTTCAACATGTCCAATTGTCTCAACCTTCGGGACAACTGGCATATGATTCTCCAATAGGAGGTAAAGTCTTTTCCTTTTGTTGTTGCCTTTTCATTTTGTACTCTGGCCTCGGTAGGAACCTTTTGCAGGTAGGTGGTTGATATGCTTGAGGAAGTGGGTAAGACATTTGTGGAGGCGGTACAGGCAATTGTGGGTCTTGTGGGTGTGGAGCATATGGCGGTGCATTGTGGATGGAGTGTTGGGAACGTGAGGTATGACTTTGGGGATTTTGTGGATAAAAGTAGCATTGGGGAGGATTATTTGGAGCACAGGGATATTCATGGGGTCGATACTAAGGCTGAAAGCGTTGAGGAAGAACACTCACTGGACCTTGTCATCGGCGGGGCTCAACAACATCTTTTCTATTTCTTTTTCTTCCCCTCAAATTTACTGAGATGTTCTGAATATCCTCTATAGTATCTTTCAACACAGAATAACTCATGATTTTGCATGACTTGATTGCTTCTTCAACCATCTCCCTAATTTTTACCACATCATTGAAAGGTTTAACCCAAGGCTGAGATCAAGTGACTGAAGTAGGTGGGTCCCTGGGCTTGTAGGAAAAGCTCAACCTTTTCTTCTTCGCCAATCGGGGGACTGACTCGGGAAGCTTGTTCCCTCCATCTGAACCCAAACTCTCTAAAACTTTCCTCTGGTTTATTTTCCATCATAGATAGGGAGGAGCGGTCTGGGATAATGTCTATATTGTACTGAAAGTGTCGAACAAAATCTTGAGCCATGTCATCCCATGCATGCCACTTGCTAACATCTTAACGGGTATACCATTCCAAGGCTTACCCACTCAAGCTCTCATTGAAATACGCCATCAACAAATCATCTTTCCCTCAAGCACTTCTCATTTCACCGGAATAACCCCTCAGATGGGTTACTGGATCTCCACCCCCGTCATACAAGTTAAACTTTGGAATTTTAAGCCCCGCAGGTAGATGAATATTGGGAAACATACACAAATCATTGTAAGATATGTTAATCTGATTTCTTATCCCTTTCATGTTCTTTAAGGATTGTTCTATATCATTCAGCTTTTTGGATATCTCATCTCGCTCTTCTCTCCTTGTGAACTTTTCATTTTTAACATGAGGCTCATTCCAAGGGCTATGATTATATGAGACCGGGACCTGGTGGGCCAAATCTTGGGGGTAGTATTGGGTATCATGAGGTTTGAACTGCTGTTCATTGTTGGATCTGTGAAGGAAAGGTTGTTGAGAAGTTGTGATAGTGAGGATAATGGATATGGCAAGAGGGTTATTTTTCTGAAATGTAGTTGGAGGATGAACAATGGAGTTACTAAGGAGGTTAGGAAAGCTATGATAAGCTGGAAAATTTGGAGAATATGGTGGATCATCTGACAGTATGACCGGAGTTCGAGTGAGGGTAGCATCTAGGAAGCTAGGTGGTGGTGGGGGTGGTGCCTTCCCAGTCATACAACCTTGATATATGTTCGCCATGTGTCGTCTTAACATCCTTAACTCTTCAACCAACCCAGTGTCCCGTTCAAACAATTGCTTTCGGGTACTAGTATCAACCAACTCAACTCCATTGTCGTCTGCCATTGCCTTTCGACTTTATGTTGTAGGAAAGAGTTGCCATTTTAAGAACCACAAACCAATCACCATTCTGCTATAATGAAGATAATAAATAGGAACAAAATGAAGTCATCACATTAGCGTTAGGGTATTTAACATAACATAATCTTACATTATGTGCAATGCACCTAGTCACAATTATCGGTTCTAAAATGACTTCGAGGGTACGAAGATCATATGGCATCATCCCACTCTTCTTGCCCCGTTTCCTTCAATATTTTCCTTTCTAGCACCCCTTGATTTTTCATTTTCTTTCCTCTAGTTTTCTTTCTGATTATCACTCTTTTCTTTCCTCTCATTTCTCACATCCCACATCTTCTTCTTTTTTTAAAATTAAATGATTCGATCGAATCCTATGTAGGTTGCCTACGTATCATGTCCCTCATGAATCACATCAAGCGTAGTTCTGGAAAAGTAATGGAAAAAAATAAACTAAAAACAAAAATCTTTTTGAATTTTTCATTTATAATTTTTTTATGTTTTCAAATACATGAAGTACGATAACAAAAGACTTGACAAAATCTTAAACCGCCTAAAATACTCAACACTACTAGACAAGACAAGAAAGTAAAAGAAAACATGAAAACAGACTCAAAATATAAAAAATCTCTAAAAACAAACTCCCAAATGCGATGGTCCTGGGGTATCTGTCATGCTCGAGCTCTGATATATGGATCCATGCCTGGATGAGAAAAATAATACCAAATAGATTAGTGACTCAAGACACTATGCGACGCCACGACACCTTCTATTGGACACATGCAAGGCATGATTAAGGCTATTTTTGCAAAGTGAGCTACGTGGACAAAATGTGGCTAGAAGTACAAACTCAACAGAGCTGACCTGACATGAAAAATTACTTTGCAGAAATGACCCATTTTGTAGAAATGGCCTATGTCGCCAAAAAATGGCTAAGCATGCAGATTCAACATAATGGACCTTAAATAGAGAGGACACCTTGTTGTGGACTTAAGGCTCTAAGACATGGGTTTGAACCACTGTTGCGAAAATGATCCCATTTTGCAAGAACAACCGATATGGCCAAAAGCGGCTAGACATGCAAATTCGACAAGGACGGACCTTTAAAGTAAAGAGACACCTAATTATGGATTCACGACTCTCTAGACACAATTAAACAAGTCACTTTGCGAAAATAGCCCTATTTTGTAAAACGGCCGATGTGGCCAAAAGTGCCTAGACATGCAAGATTTGCTATGATCCCCGAAGCCTAGAACCTAAGACTCACTAGGAAGAATGAACCCTATGTGGGTTGCCTACATATACCCCCTGAAAGACGAGAATCAGGTATGCGTAGTTCGGGAAGATTGGATACGAGAGAGAATTTTTCAAAAAAAAAAAACACTGATCTAGAGAAAACATTTTTTTCTCTTTTTTGAAAAATGATGAGAGATGTAAAAAAAATTTGGATTTTCTTTTTTTCTTTTTTTTTTGTTTTTTAGGAAAATTATGGGAAAGTGCAAAATCTTTTTGGATTTTTCATTTTCATTTTTTTTGTCTTTTCTTGAAAAAGTTGTGAAAGAAAAATATAACTGGGCTCTACTTGCTTCATCTTTATACTTTACCCTCTTTCCTTTCTCATTTACTCTCAACCATCATTGGTCCTCCAAATGACCTCTTTACCTTTAAAGAATGAAACATGTAACACATAGGGATGATTAAATGTCTTTTTAGGCCATGGGCCCGTTTTGACATAATTTGGAAAAGCCTCCTATAAAGGGACACTGTGCTTGGGACCGAGCCCTGCTAAGTATAAATGACATGACGCAAATAAGCATGACCTAAAGGCTGGCCTAAGTTTGGGGTTCACTAGACAAGGCAATTCGGGGTGACACGTGATCAATATCGGCTGCTCTAGCTGTCCGCCAACTCCACACTCCCACGCCACCCCCCCCCCCCCTAAAGACACAGGTGACTCACAAAAAGGCTGTGTACGCTCAAACATACTCTGGAAGTCTTGTTGCAGAAAGAAGACTCATAGTTATGCAAATGATGACAATTTATAAAGCAGTAACACATAAGGAAAAGCGATAAACAAACAACTAACAAAATTGGGAAATAAAACAAACAAACCAAATAAACAAACCAAACAAACAAAGCAAATAAATAAAATAAATACCTCAACTGAATATCCTAAAAGCCAACAAGATCAAGTGCCAGTTGGAACCTACAACTCCCCAGCAGCGTCGCCAGAGCTGTCACACCCCTTTTTTTCACCTCACTTAACCCTCTTGTAATTAATAAAAAGATTTTGTAAAGCTTGAAAGGGTTTTCAATTATGAAAAGTGACAAAAAAAATTCATTTCAAAGGATTTTCATAGTCACCACCTGACATTGGTTTCGGTGTACCTGGTCACCATTTTTAAAATAATAATTTTTCTTGAAATACATTTGACTCTTAAACTAGTTTGCACTAGAGATTCTAGATAAGAGGGTTCATTTGACTCAGGGAGAAGGTGTTAGGTATTCTCCGAGTCCCGTGAAAGTCACGATTGCGTACTTCATCATGTTAGCTTTTAAAATATTCAAATTGAGGTAAAAAAACAGAGACAAAGGAAAATAAACACACAAGAGGCTCCCGGTCGTCTCCACCTAAACAAAAGAAAATAAAATAAGAAAATTAAAGTAAAATCCTAAATACTAATATATACTACACTTTTTCACAAAGTTTGTCATGACCTCCAAAATATATGATACTACGGGGCATATCCCGGATAAAAATATATACAAAATCTACGGGGCATTCCCTGGATAAATTTAACTAAAGGAGGTGACCTCTCACCTCAAAAGAAACTAAAACACGAACGCCTTAAAGGTTTACCTACCCAAATGTGGCCGGCCTAAGCATACTCCTAGCAGTCAAAGTAACTAAAGCACAGACACAATGTAGTGAAATCATGTTAAGCTCAAATTTACCAATGCCATTTATTCACCGTGACCATTTGTCTTAATCTGCACCTAAGTCCTAATTTGACTAAATTTCCTTTAGCTAGATTTCATTCAGTAGCAAGTAGTTCATGTAAATCAAAACCAATTGATATGAGCAGAATTAACCAAGCAACATATGATTAACATGGATCAAACAAACATTTCACCACAAACAACACATAAGTTTAAAATAAGATAAATTGAGCAGAGAACTAAAGAATTGGACCTCAAGCAGAATGTTGTCTTCACTATTAATAAGAACAACTCCAATTCTGGTACATCAACTTCGAAGGTATTAAAATGCAACAACGAACTCCGGTTAAAATCTTGTTGGAAAGCGAAAACATGGATCGGATCTTAAACAGCGAACTGGAGAGCTTCAACAACAAACTCACCTTCAAACTCTCAAATGACCAACACTAATCGAAAACAAATCCAAATACAACTTCAAAAATCTGACAGAAACTTCAATCAAACTCCATGCGACGAAACTCTATTTTTATTGGAGTTTTTAGTGGTGATGAAGGTATGACAAATTGGTTGGTGATTAAGAAGAGTGACTGCTTGATCAAATATTGTGAATGTTTTTGAAGACGAATGGTGTTATGATGGTGGTGTAACGCTGGTGTGGAGGAATTGCAGCGAGTTTGGGTTAAGAGATGGCAGAGGTGGCTTGGAGAGGAGATGGGACGCTGGGTGTTAGAGCAGCATCGCCTGTGGCTGATGACTCGCCGGATTTCGGCATTTTTGCAAAGAGACAAGGGGTGCGGCTGCTTCTTAGAGCCAGAGAATGATGAGCGTTCCCTTCCCTTTCTACGTTCGTGTGTGTATATATTGAAGTTGTTGTCCGTTCTTATAGATTAGGGGTTCTACGGTTAGGTCATTTTTGTGGACGATAGAGTTTATATGGGGGTATAGGGGAATATGGACCATTGGATTAAAATAAAGAAAAGGCTAGGATGTAAGGGTTAGGGATTTGGGCTTGGCTGGATTTGGGCCTCTTTTGGGCTAAGTCAAGCTCAAAATAATAGTCTTCTCACATAAAAAACAAGACAAAATTAGTCCTAAATATTTCTTCTTATCCTTTTTTGGAAAAATAAATATCAATACTATTTTTGTATTCTTTTTTTAATTTTATGAAAGGTAGATTAACTAAAAGTAACTAGATAAAATAACAATTATCTAAATAAAAGAAAATATTTTTGTACTTTTCATCATTGTAGTAAAATAAAGTAAAAGAGTCAAAACTAATTAAAATAGCGATATTAGACCTAAACTAAATATTTAAAAGCTAAAATGTGTAAAATCTCGGGGAGGGTCAAATATTGCATGTCTACATCTAGTCGGCACGATTCTGGCACAAATAATGGACAGCCAAGTCTTGGCTTCAGCTGTGAATTCAGAAGAATCAACCCCTTTATGTAATCTTTTCCAAGCGGTTTTACCCCTTCATGAAGCTTCTCCACCAACCATTGGCTTTCTATCTCCCTTGCTCTGGCTCTGTATACCTCATTGTCATCATTTGGGAAGCATATAATGTGAATTTATTACGTCGGGACCAAAGTTGACCCGCTTGCCCCTAATAAAGGTAAATATTTCCCCTTGGAAATCTGTCTTCAAGGCATTGGCATAGAACTTACGAACTACTATGTAGTTCGCTTTAAATGGTTCAGGAGGAAAGCACATCCATCCACTGTCAGTTAATCTTCGGAAAAGATCCGCCATCTTAGCCTTAAGTTTGTCTAAATGGATGCCCCTTTCTTTGACGATGCTCTTTGACATGAGTTTGTCATAGTTTCTTTCACATTCAGCAGCTGTGAATCTGGTCTGATCAAAATACTCCTCTTCCACATTATGTGGAGCAGGCTCTTGTGCAATTTCAATATTTTCCGAGGCTATTTTATGCTGAAAGTACCTACAAAGTACCTAATTATGATGTAATTAGGCAAAGGAAAAAGATCAGAAAGCATCAGTCGCTTGCGTTACGATGATGATGTTGTGGCAAATCGGGGTAAAATTCAATGACTCAATTTGTTTCTTGTCGTTATACTCTAAAAAACGCGGGGACTATCTGTATACAGTAGAAATTGGGGCTACCCGATTTCGTGAGCTCGAGGGTCACTTCAAGAGCGAGATCAAAATAGACCAGGAGCGAGCTCGATAGGAGGCTTCGAAGATCAAAGTGTCCGATGAACATCAAGGTTAAACGTGACTGGCCTCGAGATAATGCTGTTACGAGTTTGTAACAGTATGAGCAAGATTCCTGCCACGTCCCTAAGATCATGGCATAAATTCCGAAATAGATTTGTACGAGTTAGTACTAATCCGTACTAGACGGTTAGACAGCCGTCACAATAAGATTCCTTACTGTAAATAGAAATGTACCTTATTTAGGGTTCCTCTATTATATAAAGGGGCCCCAATCATTTGTAACCATCATCTAATCATTGGCAAAGAATACACTTTCCTACTTTTCTCGCTCATTGTTCATCAGAATTGTCCTTTAGCTTTATTGATTTTGCTTTATTGTTCTTGACTAATCTCGAGGTTAGTTAGGCTCGAGGTCGAGACTAACTCATCTATTGGTTTGATCTTACTTATTTCTTTCATCTATACTTCAGATTTCTTGATTATTAATTAGTATTGAACTAGATCACATATCTTTAAAACCACAAATCAAATTTAATTGTTACTCGTATTTTCGAGGTAAACAATATTATATTAGTATATTGATGTGTGGCTATAATTCATGGTTTTTGCACATTATATGATTTGCGTTTTACATGCTTTAATGTTAAAATATACTTTGTTTGAGCGTAATGGAGGTTATTTTATGTGTAGGTGCATCAGAAATAAAAGTAGATCTAAAGGAATGCTTAAACATCGAAACTGCGCTCGAGAACGGTAAAAAGGAGAAGCCGAGCAAAAGCCAGCTCGACCAGGCTTTATCCAAGTGAGGCCAGCTTAAAGCCAAGCCTAACCAAGCTTTATCCAGGTGAGTCCAGCTCAAAGCCAGGCCTAATCAGGCTTTATCCTGGTGAGGCCAGCTTAAAGTCAGGCCTAGGCTGGCATTATCCAGGCGAGGCCAGTTTAAAGCCAGGCCTAGACTGGCGTTATCTAGGTAACGCCAGGCCTAAGGCCAGGCCCAATCTAAGTTTTGAAGATTTTAAGTGTTTTACGGTTTGACTAGAAGTTAACCTACACGTTTAGGGCTTGTCCCAAACATATAAATAGACCCAAAAATGCCACTTTTAAGGACTTTTGCAACTGAAGGCAAGAATAGCTCGTGGAACACTACTTGGGAGTTGGATTCATTGATTTCTAAATCTCTTTATCCTTACTCTGTAATTTAATTATGCAAATTACTTTGGATATTCGTACTATGAGTATGAGTAGCAAAACTCATAATCTAGGGTTTTGATGGAACCTGTTGAAGGATGATTTTCTCGTTATGTTAATATAGATTTGCCATAGTATTATCTCTATTTGTTCAACTATATGTTTATTGCTATTGATTGAAAGGCCCTCAATTAGCGGTTCATATTTAGTGTGCATTACTCAGGAGAGAGTGCATATTTAGGTAGTTGTTGAACATCATCACTCCTAACGTATATGAGGGATCAATACGAAATGTTTAAAGGTGAGATTAGGGATAACGAAACCTTGGGTGCGATCTAAGTAAGTTGTACGTAAAGATAGCTAGTCGGGAGAATATGTCTAGTATATTGTTGTAATTACTCGAGAGAGAGTTACGACAGTTAGAGTGCTCATGATCGATAGAGAAGACTTAGGCAAATTTATAGCAAACATAGCGGAAAGGATTCCGACAATAGGGGAAGTTAGAACCTTAGAACATTCCCATTCTTGCATTCAAACCGTTTATAGCTAGTTCTTAGTTACTGCATTTTTATTACGTAATATTTAGTTATTAAACATCCAATTTGTTACTCAAATATCTCTGAAGATTGAATACTTGAATTTCTAATAGCTGTGATTGATAGGTTAATTCCCTATGGGATTCGACTCCGGACTTGTTAACTAAAATATATTTGCGGTGACCGCTTTGTCCTTTTTATAAGGCATGGTTGGGCATTATCAAATTTTGGCGCCATTGCTGGGGAATTAACGGTGTTATTAATTGCAGTGAAAAGAAGTGTAAAAATTCTTAGTGTAGTCAATTTTCTTCAATTTAAACTGATCATTGAAATTCTAACGTTTGTTGTCAAGGTTGTTACAGGTGCATGCTAGAAACTCCTCAAGAACTGGTGAATTGTTTGAAACATTATCAGATCCTGAGAAAGTTTTCAAGGCATTGAATCGAGCAAACAGGAAAGGCAAACAACAATAGAACTCAACTGAACAAATTGAACCAGACATGGAAGACGATAATCCAAACAATACACACAACGTGAATGACCTAAATGATCAGGGTGTGTACCCCTTGTGCCAGAAGAAGCACTATATGATTGGGCACAACCCACCAGTGACAACTTAGCAACTGCCATTATAGTCCTTCGGATACAAGGAGATTCATTCAAGATCATAAATAACATGCTACATTTGTTGCAGAACAAATGATTGTTCTCTAGGTTATACGTTGAAGATCCTCAGTAGCATCTAAAGAATTTCCTGTCAATCTATGCCACATAGAGGCAACATAACGTGACACCGGAAGCAATACGTCTGTTGTTGTTTCCATTCTCAGTGACAGGAGCAGCTCAGACTTGGCTTAATTCACTCCCCACAAAATCCATCACTACTTGGGAGGAATTAGTCAAGCAATTTGTGAACAAATTTCACCTACCCAACAAGACTGCTCAGCGAATTGATGAGATATTGAGCTTCAAACAGAAACCAACAGAGATGTTACAAGAAACGTAGGAGAGATTCAAGGGTCTTCTCGTTACGTGTCCACATCATGGTATTCCGGAGCAGATGTTAGGGCAGAGATTTTATATGGGTTTGGCAGATAGTTTGAAAGCCAATGTTGATGCTTCAATAGGTGGATCATTTTTAGCAAAACATTTAGAGAGAGCAAGATCCTACTTGACAAGATGATATAAAACTCAGGATGGACGACAAGAAACGCTCCAATCACTCATGTGGTTCACTTAGTGGCGTTAGACCAGACCAACTCCATAGCTGAAAATATGGCCACTCTATTGACACAAATGAGCATCCTCACCAAAAAGGTTGATGAATCAGGCCAGAAGTAGCAGGTACACATAGTTGTTGTAACTAATGGGGGTTTATGCACACCATGCATTAATCAACCACATGTCTGCTCGTGGAATGCTGAAAGTGATAACCAATAATATCAGGAGAAGATGAATTATGTGGCCAACTACGGGGGATCGAGACCATGTGGTCAAAATTGGGGTTAACAAAATCAACAATATAGACCAGCTCAGCAGCAGTAGAACAACAAAAATAACCATGGGGCTATGCGACCACAGGGCCAAATGGTGCCTTACCAAAGGCAACAAGGTTACAACCAGCAAAATCAGCAGCAGGCTTATCAACAACCTCCACGACAACAGACTGTGAGACATGAAGATGTGTTTGCTAAACTTGAGGTAATGATGCAACAAGTGATTGGGTCCACTAGAAAATTAACTGAAAGAGTAGACTCACATGAGTTAGCGATAAAGAATATTGGGATCCAATTAGAACAGATTTCCATGGCCCTAAATAATCGTCCTCATGGGACGTTACCTGCAGATACCCAAATCTATCCAAAAAAGCAGGGCCCAAAGCAGCTAATGGAAATAAGTTTCCGAAATGGTATAGACTTAGATCAGGAGCAAGAAATTGCTCATGACGGCAGACCGACTGAGACACTAGTTCCAATACCCATTGAGAT